AGAAAAAAAAAAAAAAAAAAAAAAAAAGAAAGTAACATGTTCACTGAAATTTGGCAGAGGTTCGCAGAACACGAAATAAAACTAAAAGCAGCTGGCTCCAAAACCTGAACCCCTCGTAGCCGTGGCCTTCGAGCTCGGTCCTGCTTTATCGAGATAAAGCTCAGCCCGGCTGTTTGTTTTGCTTTGCAGTGCCAGCCAGCTTTCCAGCCAAGAGGTTATTGGGTCTACAGTAGAAGTGCTTTTGTTTTTCTGGCAAACTCTGGGTCCTTCCTGAAGAGTGGTTTATCTTGCATGCAGGCGTCTGGCTACAGCCCGTCTGTTCTCAGCCCGACCTCGAGGGGAGAGTGGTCCCTGGGTTTAACCCACACGCAGCAGACGTCCTCCCCATTGGTGGGTCACCTGGGTCCCTTTCCATTTCCCCGCCTGTACCTGGGGCCTCACGCCCCCAGCCCCACCCACACCCACCCAGTCCCTTTCCCCATGTGAAAACTTAAGAGAAATAAAAATGGGTTCATCCCCACGGAAAGGTGGGGCCTCCACTTCCTTTATCTTTTCCATTCGGCCCAGGTCCCTGCCGGGGTGGTGTTTGGCTCTGAACTGCTGAAAGTGGAATGGAGCTGGTACGAGTTCCTGTCTCTGTTGCAGTGCTGCTGGGAGTGGGTTTCCTGGTCTGGCCACATCTCAGGGGCCCTTTGAAGGCAGTTAATGTTTTCCTGGGTGTGCCCTCCGGGCAACGCCCGGCCTGTGTGGGCACATGGTTGCCCCGGAGAGCCCCTCCCAGACTATACCTTTGGGATTCAGGCAGCAGGAGGCATCTGGAGGGTAGGAGCCAAGGGAGGTGGAGAGGTGACCCCCCCAAATGTGCAAGAGGGTGGCCCACACCTCCGAGTGTGCTGGGTTAGGTCCGGCTGAAGCGTGGCAAGAACTGTATATGCATGGTACAGGCAGGTCAGACATGAAGCCCTCCCAGGGCAGGTCCCCGTGGTGCCCCTTTCTCTAAACACCCTCCAAGCTCAGCAGCAGGTGTCCCTACCTGCCACTCCTCCCCAAAAGGCCCATGGAGTTCCCGTCGCCCTGCAGCTCGGGGTTTCCTCCTCACTGGGGTCTTGGCACCTTTCTGTGTCGCTGCATTTCAGTGGCTGCTTAGTGACCCGTCTGTGGATGCGCCGTGATGTGGGCCCCACTGAGGGCCGTGTGGGCGGCAGCTGGGTGCTCCTCTTACAGGCGGGGCTGTGATCGCCTCCCCACAGGTCAGTGGCGCGTCAGTCAGCAATGTCTGAACATTTCAACCGAGGCAACAGAGTGCTCAGACTCGGTTCTTGTTTAAAATATTGCTGTTTAGGGTCAGAAGCCCCAAGATACTAAGATCAGTAATAAAATAGAAACTGTCGCTGACATAAGGCTAGGACTGTGCTGAGGTTGACCACACAGTACGTGCCCCTTACAGACCGGGGACCTGGGGTGCAGAGGGGGCACCCTGCCCTCAGGCTGCAGCGTGGTGGACGTGGTCAGCGGTGCCCACAGGACCCTGCAGTGCCCATGTACTTCATTCCTGTTTTAAAACGTTTGTCTTTATTGTGTTTATCCAAGCAGAGCGTACACACGGGTAGGGAGTCAGGTGGTTCTCAAGGGTTCCTGTGGTAGGGTGGCAGTGCCCCCGGACAGGCCGCCAGCTTCTCACCGCTGTCACCCCCACGACTCCCAGCTCCTCCATTGTGGAAATTCAGGGGTAGCCTTTGCTCCCCACCCCATCTTCCCAATAAAATTCCACTAGAACTGTTGGCGTAGCTCAACTATGTCGCTGTCCAGTGGACTAAGGGCTGCTGGTTTCGCTGCTGTTCGTTTTCCTCCGTGTCCCTGCCGCTCTGGTTGCTGTTGCGTGTTCCTCGTGTAACTTTGTGGTAGTTACCTGGCCTTCCCTGCGTCGGCTCGCCTCCCGGGGGTCATGAGACCCCTCCTGGGTGGGCTAGGTCCCTGTTCGGGTCGGGCCCACTCCACCTCTGCCCAGGGTGAGGGTCTGTCACTCAGACCGTCGCTGAAAGACCCTCTGGAGCTCAGGCCTCGCCACCCTCCGAGCCAGGCGTGGGCCCCTCTGACCCGGGACTGTCTTCCGCCCTGGACCCCCCCTTCCCTGACTCCCGAGTCCGTCCTTTCCCCAGCTGCCCCTTCGTGTTCCTGCGGGACGTCCTCCCGTTGCCTCCCGGGAGATGGGGCCAGAGAGGTAAGTTTTTTAAATGTCCTCCCTGCTCTTCGATTACTAGTCTCTGTTCTCCCCGGGTGGGCGGGTCTCCTGTGCGGGGACCTCTAGGTTAGAAATGTTTCCCTCGGAATTTACATCACTTTCCAGCTTTGAGTGTTGCTGTTGAGAAGTTAACGCTCTTCTGAATCCCATCCTTCGTGCGTGATGTTCCCCTGGAGAGGCGTGGCTCCGTGTGTCCACGCATGTGGCCGGTGCAGTGGTGGGTCTGCGGGGGGCCAGCGTCATCCCACCAGCTTGTCTTTTTCCAATATCGTAAATGCGGCTGCAAACATTGCCGGGTGTGTCTTGGACGGTCACAGAAGTCACGTTCTAGGTCTGGGCTGTCGGGCAGCACGGGTTTGTCCTGGTGAGACAGTGGCCCAAATCCAGAGCAGCTGCTGGCAGGACAGGCCACCTCGAGGAGTCGCCGCTCGTGGCCTAAAATGGAAATTTTATTTCGGGATCATTTTCTATAAAAAGGGGGATTATTGACTGCCAGTCGAATGTGCTTGCTCACCTTCCTGCCCACCTTTAATCCGAAATTGGGGGGACATGAGTCGCATGACACCCAGTGCTGCTTTGGCGCACCCTGAATCCAGACCTCCCAAACGCCTGCGCAGTTGGGGCGCCCCCTGGAGGTGGGCTGTTTTCTGTTGCAGCCTAGCACACCGGGAGGACCCAGCACAGCTTCTGTCCTGTCCCCTCAAGAGACATGTATTTATTCTGCAAGAATTTTCTTCAGGTTTTGCTAATCATTGGGGAGTTTCCCAGCCAAGCAGAATGAAGCTCTTGCGTTGGACACGGGCTGTCTTGCGGTGTCCCCAGATCCCGAGGCTGGCTCTGAATTGAGCATTGACAGCCTCAGATGCTAGGCCTACGTGGTTTGTGGCTGTCTCCTTCCCCTGGCCTGGAGGTGTGGGGTCAGGGCCGCGGTACCAGGCACAGCCCTGAGGAGGCCCGGCCCGCGGGAGACCCGCCTGTGGGGACCTGAATGGGGTCATTGAGAAGCTAGCTGCTCTGAGGCCTGAAGGGCCATGTTCCCAGAGGCACGCTCCCCAGGCGGAACAGCTGTGCCCTGCCCCCCTGAACCTTGGCTGCCCCGCCTCGGTCCTGTCCCGGGTGAGCCAGCTCCGGCCTGCGCTGCCGCTGGGGCTCGGTCTGTGGGAAGGACAGCCTCCTCTGTATTTTGCCTTCTGGAGGCTGGATGTAAACTTCCTCTGATCTTTTGCAAAATAGTGACTGGGGACGGCCAGCATGGCCTAGGAGTCGTGTGTCCTCTCCACTGGCGAGGGACCATCAGTCCCACGCGACTGAGACCCACCTGCCGCCTGGCTGGGCGTGAGTCCGTCTCCAGGAGGCAGGCATGTTTCTGAGGGAGGGTCGTCGGCCCCCGTGTTCAGGTCCGGGAGGGCATGGCCGTCGGGCTGGGCGCAGTCTGCAGCGCCTCGCAGAGAATCTTCAGGAAAAGCCCCACATCAGCTGCGTGCCCACTGGCCCCAGCTTCATGACATGCCGGTGGCATGTTTCCCAAGTGGACGCATTGGTGACGCCTGACGTTGCGTGTCACCATGTCACTGGTACATCCTTTCTCCCCTCCCCCTGACTTTTATAAGCGTGGGTTTGTATATTTGGTTCAGGATTAAACTCAGAAAGGCTGCTTTTATTGCTCTAAGCTCATTGTGGGTGTTGAGTAGTGTTGCTGGACTCCAGCATGTCCCTCTCTGCCAGGTTTGGGGACTCCAGTGAAGGAAAGAACAGGATCCTCAAGGCTCCTAAAATCTTGGTTCGGAGCTCAGTGCAAGTCCATTACTGAAAGGCTTTCTAACTGGTTGAATCATCGCTTACGTCCCTCCCCGAGCTGTTCTCTGTCGTAGGGTTTCATTCTCTCGGTCACTGTCCTCCCTCAGTAGCGACTTCTCGACGCCCCTCCCTGGGTGCTGCAGACAGGCCCCCGGCCGCTGGAGGGAAACACACATGGAAACCGGGGCTGCGCCCTGGCCCGGGAGAGGAGGAAGGTTCCAGCGTGCAAGGGTCCAGGAGCGGGGACGGGGTAACATTCAGGCTGCAGCCATGGGGTTTGGGAGGTGTCCTGTTATCTGGACACGGGCAGGGGGACATTTAGGCAGGGGATGGACAGATGTGTTACCTGGGAGGCCCTCGTGCAGGCAGGGCCTCCTGGCCCACGATTGTGGGGAGGCTGGGAAGTGGGGGGCAGCGGACGTGGTTCCACACAGGCAGGTGACTACAGGGCTCCGGTCACCTCCCAGCAGCGTGCCTTTTACCTGGGTTTGTTACACACTAGTGGTGCTTTTATTGGTTTTCTCTGAATATTTTGTAATAGAATTATTTTAGAATCAGTATTTTGATGTGGTTTGATAAGCACAGTCCCGGTGTTACTGAGAGGAAAGGGGCCCAAGCCTGTGACTGAGCAGCCGAGCCCAGCGGGCTAGACAGTGGCACAGGCCTGGTACCCACCTGCCCACTGAGCCCTGGGCTGCAGGTGGGAGCGGCCTCGGGAGGAGCCAGAGATGTGTCAGCCACATACTTGGTTGCAGTTTCGACCGTGGGTTGTCACTGCCGCCTGGGAGAGTGAGCAGAGCAGTGGCTGTGCCTGAGACGGCTGGTCCCCCTCCTATTTTCAGGGAGCAGCAAGTACACGGTTCCCACCTTTGCTGAGGGCGCCACCGTGTGGACAGGGCCGGCCCTGCTGCAGGCCCTGGCTCCCTGGGCCACGTCCCGGCGTGTGGCTGCCTGGCCGCCCTCTACCGAGGGTTGGTGTGGTGTTGCCACTGTCTCTGTCCCCCGTGCCATCCAGGGAGCCCCCAAATCCTGTTTCCTGCAAAGTCCTCCTCAGCATTGTGACCTTAGGATGTGTCTTTTCTCTCCGCAGTGTTCCCAACTCCTGCCCGGCCAGTCCACGCGGAGCCGGGTCCTCCGGCTACCGATTCGTCCAGAACGTGACCTCAGACCTGCAGCTGGCCGCAGAGTTCGCGGCAAAGGCTGCCTCGGAGCAGCAGGCGGACGCGTCTGGAGGAGACAGCCCCAAGGTCTCAGCCCTCACCACCCAGTGGGCCCACGGTGACCGCGGGGGTCCCGGGGCCACCCCTTCCCCCTGCCCTGCCCACCCGGTGCGCGCCGCTTGTCGACAGCGTTTAGGCACCGTGGACCGTGTGGCCTCCTCGCCGTTTCGCCTCATTGCATCTGCTGTTGACTACAGGGTTTCAGAGTTTTAATTCCCGTCTTTGAGAGGATTAGCAGGCTTTGCCTCACAACTCTGTCCTAGTTCATTCCCACCTGGTAACTCTGAAAATCAGTTTGTAGAGGAGGTGAGAAATTTCAGAGTAAATCATGATGAACTCGGTCCTTCCCGTGGGGCAGAAACAGCTCTTCCTGGTCGGAAGCAAGCATGTTGCTGGGACGGTGCTGGTTGCTGGTAGACGCACCGTTGGTCTCTGGTCCTCACTGGGCGTTTGCTCCCCTAGGAGGGGACACTGGGTGGGCTGGACTTGGGACCGTGCTTGAGCTCATGGGGCTGCCCACTCTCCGCAGGATGAGTCGAAGCCGCCCTACTCGTACGCCCAGCTGATCGTGCAGGCCATCTCCTCGGCGCAGGACAGGCAGCTAACACTAAGCGGGATCTACGCCCACATCACCAAGCATTACCCCTACTACAGGACAGCCGACAAGGGCTGGCAGGTGAGGCCCGCGGCTTGGAGCCTGGCTCCGAGGTTCGGTAAGATAACAGGCCCAGGGACATCATTGGCCCCCTGCGTACGTCTGAGATGAGCTGCACCCCAGTGCGTCCGGAGCCCTCCCTCTGAGGTCCAGAAATGTGAGGGTCCCTGTGCCTGCCTGTTACATTGCTGTGCACTGTGCATTATAACCCCGTTACTCAGTCGTCCACACGTGTAAATCACGTATATGTGTCTTTGTGTGGGTTTGTAAGACCTTTGGATTGGGCATGACCAGTGTGTCCCAGTCGTCTGTGTATCGCCATAGTTTCTTTCCCTTTGCTAGCGGACCAGTGCAGGTTTTTACCTGGCTTGTCTTCCTGTCCTGCTTTTAGTATAAGGAATGACTGATGCTGACCTGAGTTTCCATCGGAACAACCTGCACCTTTGCACTCCCCATAAAACAGTTACCTGGCCAGCCCACGGGAGCCATCGCCTTGGGTCCCGCATTGTAGCTCTGGTACGGGTGGCTGGGCTTTGTTTTCTGATTTGCTGATGACCATGACTCTCTCTGCTTGCCTGCAGAATTCTATCCGACACAACCTCTCCTTGAACCGTTACTTTATTAAAGTCCCTCGTTCCCAGGAGGAGCCTGGGAAGGGGTCCTTCTGGCGGATAGACCCGGCCTCGGAGGCGAAGCTCGTGGAGCAGGCCTTCCGGAAGCGGAGGCAGCGGGGCGTCTCCTGCTTCCGCACCCCCTTTGGGCCGCTGTCGTCCAGGTGAGCCCGGCTTCCCCAGGCGGCCACGCTCACACTAGTATTTTAGGCTTGTAAAACCCTTCACCTTTTTTTGAGAGAGAGAGAGTGAGACCCAGGGTAGTGAAGTCAGTAACGTGGCTGCTGCTGTAACGTGGCCGTGCTTGGAAGCCAAGCTCTGGAATGGGTTTCTGGCGGAGGGTTAGAGGGACGTGGAGAACAGCACCCTCCTCCCTGATGGATTGGACGTTGCCTCCCAGGAGGGACGGCTGGAGCAAAGCTCAGTCAGTCAGCAACCCAGCTGACGTTGGGGTGGGGCCCCGCCCCCCCCCAGCAGCACCACCGCCCCCAGCCCGGTCCTCTCCTCCTCCTCCTGCCCGTGGCAAGGGAGCAGAGAGCATGGATATGTGTGGACAGGCCCAGTGGTCTTACCATGGTCACTGATCCCGGAGAAGCAAGTTGATGACGAGATGGGGACACAGGAAGTCTCCCACATGGAGGAAACTTGGCATCGGGCGTGCGTTGTGTCGGTCGTGGTTCAGACACACGTCCATGAAAGACCGGGAATCATTTCCAGCACAGGGTCTGGCGCTGTGATTGTCCCTGTCCAATCAGAGTAGAACCTGGAACGAAGGTGGATGGGCGTATTGGTGAGGTGGGAATTCAGAAAAGTGCTTTAACATCATTGGGCTGTCTCGGCTGAGCCCAGGTTTCCCAGAGCACCACGTTGCTTACATGGGAGCGAGCAGAAGCGTCATCAAACTGTTCGCTTGCTGGGCTGCTGCGGAAAGTCCCGCCGGCTCGGCAGCTTAAACAGGAGAAATGTATCCCCTGTTCTGGATCCCGAGGTCTGACGTCAGGTGTGGCTGGTGGGTCCCTGCTGGGCTGTCAGGAGGGTCTGCTCCAGGCCTCGCCCTGGCTCCCAGGGTTGCCAGCTGTCTCTCGGGTTTGTGGCCTTCAGACACATCACCCGACCTCAGCCTCCCTCACACCATGTTCTCTGTGTGTCTGTGTCCACATTTCCCATTTTTTTGAGGACGCTGGTCACTAGATTAGGGTTATTCTACTGACTTCGTTTAACCTGGTTACCTTGCTGAAGACCCTCTGTAAACCCACCTCCAAGGAAGGCCCCTCGGGCCCTGGAGGTTAGGTCCCAGCTTGGTGCCCAGCAGTTTTTCCCGGGTGAGTCAGCCCTGACCAGCTAGGGGAGACATTCCTGGGCTCCTTGGTGTGCCCAGCACTGCCTGGGAAACGTGGGCGTGGGCATCTGTGAAGGTGGTTCATCAAGGTCAAGGTCACCCTGGAAGCTGGGCCCTGATCTTGTGCTGCAGGTAGAACTTGCGTGAGGGAACTGGGGGGAGGAAACCCAGTGTAGGGGACAGGTAGCAAAAGCTCTGCGGTGGGCTGTCTCTCGGCTGCCTGGGGGCAGAAGGTGGATAGGAACTGGGATCAGTTTGATAGAGTAAACCAGGTCCAGGAGGCCTAGACAGGAGCTTGTCAGGACAAGTGCCTTCACAGATGTGAGGGGCCCCATGAGGATCGGCAGGCGAGGACCCCAGGCCAGCAGAGCTGGAGAAGCAGCAGGCTGGGCGAGAGGGGCTGGAGGGAGTGGGTCTCTGCCCGGGGAGATAGCACCCCTTGTCCAGCGGGGGAGATGAGGTGTGTATAGTATGGATTATAAGCTCAGGACAAAGACTGCTCCCCTGGCTGCATTTGGGGGCCCAGCATCCTGCCCCTGTGGGGTTGTGTATCCCTGCATGTTCAGGGGCACAGGGACCGTGTGTCGTTGACAGTCCCCTGAGAAGCAAGGCCCGATGCTGGCAGCCCATTGGGCAGGGCTGGCGGGAGCTAGAGGAGGTGGGCTGTTCTGGAACCCAGGCACCCGGGGCTCATGCCACGGAGAGTGTACTTGTTCTCTCCATGTGGACTTGTCCTGCTGGGAAGTTTGTGCCCATCCCACAAACACTATGTTGTTAGCACAGAAGACAGAGCTGCTTTCCTGGGAGATCGCAGGTCCCCTCAGGGAGTAAGTGCTGGGGTCTTAGCTGTGTCTGTAGCCACATGCAACACAGTGTCCTGTGCCGGGTGCTGTGACGACAGTCGGGTTGAGTGGCGTTGTTGCTGCAGGGATGGAAACCCCTGTGAGGACAGGGAGGCGTTGGGGGGAGGGGGCTGGGCCACCATGGCTGTGGGTCTTGGGCACTTTGTGCTTTGTTAAGTGCCTTTCGTCCCCTGTCGCATGTACTCACTACTGTGGTCCCTTCTCCCGGTTTTAGGAGTGCACCAGCTTCACCCACCCACCCTGGGCTGCTGTCCCCTCGGTCCAGTGGCCTGCAGACTCCAGAGTGCCTGTCTCGGGAGGGCTCCCCCATCCCGCATGACCCTGACTTTGGGGCGAAGTTAGCCTCAGTTCCAGAGTACCGGTATTCCCAGAGCGCACCCGGTAAGCGCAGCCGTCCCTCTGTGCGGCAGACCCAGACCCGGGCCCAAGGGGGTGTTGGCTGCCCGCTGACCTCATGCCCCTCCCTGTGCAGGCTCCCCCGTCAGCGCCCAGCCCGTGGTCATGGCCGTGCCTCCTCGACCTCCCAGCTTAGTGGCCAAGCCTGTGGCCTACATGCCAGCATCCATCGTGACAGCACAGCAGCCCTCTGGCCACGCGATCCACGTGGTGCAGCAGGCGCCCCCTGTCACCATGCTCAGGGTGGTCACCTCCTCCGCCAGCTCCGCCAATGGGTACATCCTGACCACCAACCAGGCGCCGGCTGGGGGTGCCCATGAAGCAGCGGGCACAGCCGTGTTGGACCTGGGCAGTGAGGCAAGAGGTAAGGTAGCCGTGGGGTCACTTGGCTGGGTTCCCAGAAGGTAGAGCTGCCAGCGTGGGCCTCGGGGGCATGGAGCCCAGGAGTCAGGGCACAGAGACCAGGGGTTGGGCACAGGCAGTCTCTGGGGCAGGTGGCTCTCAGCCTGCTGTACTGTTTCCCTGCTCCTCGTTTTTCTGGGAATCTGTCCTCTGAAGTCAGCACCAGCCATCCTCCAAAACACGCGTCTCATCGTGAAGTCGTGCTTCCCGCACTCAGAGTCCGAGGTCACCCTGAGTTAGGTGGGGGGCTGCCGAAAACTAGATCCGGAGGATGAGTCTCTTGAGCAGCCAGTGAGCAATCCCTAAAAGTCATTTACAGTAAAAAAGTGCCCTGGCTGGTTTGTCTCAGTGGTCAGAGCATCGGCCTGCAGACTGAAGGGTCCCGGGTTCGATTCCAGCCAAGGGCATGGACCTTGGTTGCATGCTCGATTCCCGTTGGGGTGCATGCGGGAGGCAACCAGGCGGTGTGTCTCTCGCATTGATGTTTCTCTCTCTTCCACTCTCTGAAAAGCGATATAGCGAAGAAATATAAAGCGAAGAAATATCCTCGGGTGAGGGTTAAAAAATAAAAAAGTTACAAAGCCCTAAACTGGAAGCCTGGGTCCCAAGAAATAAATGTTGATCCCAACAGTGCAGCCAGCGTGTGTGACAAGCCCTCTGGGGACTCGTGGGGAAGCAGCACCTCCCCCACTGCTAGGGGTCTCAGTGCCACGCCCAGTGCTGTCACAGGACCAGCGTCTGCAGGACGGGACAGCAGGGCCCCCCTGCAGACCATTCATCCAGATTCGTTTCCAGGTTCCGCCTCGGCCGGTGAACATTTAAGATAAACTTTTGTCTAAAACCCTGTGAAACATTTTTCCATTGTTTTAAAACTTATCTCCTTGGTGGGGTTTTTCTTTTGAGAACCAATGTTGTTTTCCCAGTGTCACTGCTCAAACACCGCAGTTCCCCGTCCCCGAGACGGTCCCCTGTGAGCCGAGAAGGGCTCTGATGCACACTCTTCCTGCAGGTCTGGAGGAGAAACCCACCATTGCGTTTGCCACCCTCCCCCCCGCCAGCCGAGTCATCCAGACTGTCGCCAGCCAGATGGCCCCAGGGGTCCCTGGTCACACGGTCGCCATCCTGCAGCCGGCCACGCCCGTAAGCATTGGGCAGCACCACCTCCCGGTCCGGGCCGTCACGCAGAACGGGAAGCACGCTGTCCCCGCCAGCAGTCTGGCCAGCAGCGCCTACGGTGAGGCCGTTGCCCTCTGCGCCCGTGTCCGAAGTTTGGGGCTTAGTCTGTAGTCAGTGCAGCCAGAGGACCTTTCCCAGGGGACCCAGCAGCCAGTCGGTCCGTCCCCCAGCTGAGCAGCCGCTGTGCGCGGGCACTGTGGTAACAGAGCAGCGTCCGCAGCCCAGGAGGGACGGGGACAGCACGCCGGGGACCGGGGCTGGGGGCGGGAGGGTTCAGTTTTCGGGGAGGTTCAGGACGGGTAGCATTTGGTAATGACCCTCCGGAGGTTAGGGCTTCACAGAGAGAAGCAGGAGCAAGAGGGGACGCTGGAGTAGACCAGGGATAGCACACCCCTCGGAGAGGTGGCTCATCAGTGTCCCACCACAGAAGGAAAGGCCAGCCGAGTGGGAGCTGCTGGGAGCTTTGGGCAGAGGCTCCAGGGCTGCTGGGCACGGGTTCCTGTGCAGCAGCTGGGGCCTGTGTTCAGAACACGCCGGTACTGTCCTGATCAGTGGTCTCCTTCCTCCACCCCAGCCCTCACGAGCCCCCTGCAGCTCCTTGCCGCCCAGGCCAGCTCATCCACTCCAGTGGTGGTCACCCGGGTGTGCGAGGTGGCGCCCGAGGAGCCAGGAGCAGCCGCAGCAGCAGCCACCGCCTCGCCAGCCACCACCACCTCTGCCTCCCCCACTGGGGAGCCTGAAGCCAAAAGGTCCCGATTGGAGGAGCCCAGTGGGACAGTGACCGTGCAGGCCGGGGTGATCACAGCGGCCGGCCCACAGGGGCCTGGGACCGGGGAGTGACGTCAGCATACAGAGGTGGAGTGGGACACATGCCAAAAAGAATTGGGGCTGGACCACGACGCCGACACTGCCACCACCTGGGACCGTGATGAGAAAGCCCCATGCCACCGAAGCTTGGTGCCACGGACAGGACGGCCCCCATCGCTGCTCCTGCACTCGTCCCTGTCGCCCTCCTGCCCCTGCTGTGGTCGAAACAAACACATAAACACGTTCAGACCGCTGATTGTATGTTCTGGGAATTCTTTGTGTTCCTCTCCCTGAGCACCGGCTGTCCCCCCAGGCCTCTCAGGCGCGGGGAGGCGGATGTGGCACCGCATCCCAAGGACTGGATCCCAGGCCCCAGCCATGGGCAGGAGCCTTCACCCGGAGACTTGCACAGACAGGCCTTCGAAGGAAGGACGAGCTCGGGCTCCACTCCTGTCTGCAGTGGACCGGAAACTGCGAGAAAGGCGAGGATGGTCCTATTTCCGACTGTTCATGACGTCTTCTCCCTAAAATAGTGACCCAGGAAGCATCAGATTGGCATTAAACGGGGGAAGGGGAGGGGTCGGTTGCTTTGGACCTCAAGTAGTTCTTGTTTGGTTGCAGCATGGAGTTCAGGCTTAATCACACATCTGAGACACACAGGGACCGTCTGGTTTTGAGGTTTCCACGTGTAGGCAGCGTGGCTGCTGTGGGCATGCTGTGTCCCTGGAGAGACACCCGCTGCCCTGTCTGCTAGGCGTCTCCAGTGTCCGCCCCCTGCATCTCACATCTGAGTCACAGAGGGCGAGCCCTGTCTCTGCAGGCCTGACACCCCAGGGCCAGCAGCCACCACGGCACGCCGGGCCCTGCCGTAGCCGCTCTCCACTTCCTCACCGATTCATCCTACACCCCCCGGGGCTCTGCTGCTCGACATCGGAACTGTCCCTTCTGCCCGCACCACCAGGCTCTGGGGTCAGTCAGCCAGGGGCCGGCTGTTCCCCCGCGCCCAGCTCTTCCTGCCTCGGCTGGTCTTGCCTGTGGCCTGGTGAGTCGAAGGCAGCACACTCTGGGCAGGGTGCCGGCTTCCTCGAGGAGAGAGCTGTCGTGGGAAAGGAGCGTCTGGGTCACAGCCCAGAGGGTCAGACCAGTCCTCAGCTGCCCTGGGAGACCACGCCCGGGAAGCATGAGTAGGTCTGTGAAGAGGCGTCGGTTCTGCTGCTGTGGACACAGCTGAGAGGAGGCTGCACAGAGCTCTGAGGTCCTCCCTTCCCAGCTCGTCACCTAGGCAGAGCTGCCGTGTCCCCGCTGCCACCCAGGGACAGGAGCTGGCTCAGAGGGTGAACTGTGGGACACAATTCCAGGGTGGTGCGGGCAAGACTGGCCCACGTGCAGAGCATGACCCGAGGCAGCAAGCCTGTCCGACCACAGCGTGGCAGTGACAGGTCCATCTCTGCTGCAGTTGCCCCCCGCCCACTCGTGAGGACACATCAGAGCATCCTCCGCCCCCTCCTCCTGCCTGGACTGGGGAAATGCTGGTTCTGTGTTCGTTAAGCCCCAAACCAGCTATTTCTATGGCACTAAACCTTATGTGGGAAACACGCCTGTTGTCTTCGGGGCGATTTTAGAGGATCGGGAACTGGATGGAAACAGCTGGCGTATGTCCTCGGGGTTACCCACCGTGGAAGAAGGTTACG